CCACTTGTCTGTCTCCAGCAACTGTATTTCCAAGAGCTCTCACCTTCTGTGATGTATCCTTGGCATGGGAAGACAGCCAAGTTCACACTCTGTAGAACAGGCATCGGTAACAAGCTGCAATGACATCAAAATGATGACACAGGCATCATGGTATCATTGTTCACATAATGCAAATATGTCCGTGTCCTAACATTTGAAACAACCACATAAAAGTAAAGCATGATATATCTCAAAGGTGCTTTTTCAAGAGGCAACTGGACTTTCTTGTCTTGCTTTGAAGATGTTTCATTTCTCATCCAAGAAGCTTCTTCAGCGATGACTGGAGGGTGGGGAGAGCTGAAGAAGCTTCTTGGATGAGAAACGAAACATCTTCAAAGCAAAGCAAGAAAGTCCAGTTGCCTCTTGAAAAAGCACCTTTGGGACAACCATGACCTGGATGACTGAGAATCTCCATAGACATAAAGCATGACATATGCCATCGTTTGTTTCCCCTTCTTCCCCTATGGCATTCTGTGCTTTAATCATATTGTGCTTTGCTTAGTTTGGGTTTATTGTCTTGTGAAAACCAAGGTAACTGTAGTGCTAGCTGTGGCTTATTCAGTAAAATCATAAAATCAGCTATAACTTAGCACAATGTCTAAACTCAAGACATTTCCACCAAAGTCTGTTCAGCTAATCCAAAATCAGTACCAGATTGGCGTGACTGGTGTATAATCATATCTCATTGACTTTATTTGCAACTGAGTTGATTTATTTCTGGATAAGCTGCAATGCGTCTCAAATGGAACTTTAAGCCATTCTCCTTTTGAAACGCTGAAGGTTGAACAGGATGTGGGAGGGCCAGCTTTCGATTGGCAGGAGATCTCCTATCCCTTTGCCCCCCCTTTCCTGGGCTCTTAGTCCTCCACCGAAAAAGAGCCATCAGAGCATCAGAGATGACTTGAAAGAGAGAAGAAAGCCTGTACAGCTTTTGCAGCTCTTCCTCTATAATAACCTTTCCAACTTGGGGGGTGGGGGGGGAGGAGAATAAAACTCACAGTATGATCTAACAAGGTTGAAGGACTCTGAATTTTGTTTCTTCCCTCTCTCATTGGGCAGCTGCAGGGAACACTGATTGAGGCTCCTTCTGAATTCAAGAGACTGAATTGTCCAAGAAACAATGAAGATGATCCCCAGATGCTTCTGGGGAACTGGGAAGCTGAAATGGGGACAGTATAGAACTACCCCTAGCCAACATCTAAGTTTTTAAGATCTACTGCAACTCTGCACAGTTTATCCTGTACTCTCTGAGGTCAGCAATAGGACTCCTGTAGCTGATTTTGCTATTTTTAAAAAAATATCAACTGTTCCTTTTACTTTTCTTATGATCATTTTATGGAAAAAAAACATGTCACTGGAATTAACCTTCCTTATTACAGTTTAGGAGGGCTCTCATTTACTTAGGCCTTTTAATGTTTTCATGCTATTGTTTCAGTTTTTAGTATTTAGTATTTTCTTGTTGTTAATGCACATTTTTTAATTCTTACTTTAATAAAACACCCAGCACCGTTAAAGGAATGGGGCAGGGGGCATATGCACTTTCTAAATCCAATCATTTAAACAGGTCCCTCTTTTCCATCTTCCCAGGAACAACTGCTTCCAGAAATGACTGTTCTCTACAATCACTCAGAAAGTAGAAGTAGTAGGCTAACATATTCTTTGCCCATTTCAGCAGTTCCACATCAAATGTGCTTCAAAAGAATCAGATTTGTGTCTACCTTCTGACTTGCAAGCAAATATATTGCACACTGGATAATATGCCATATTAACAACCACATGGCCCTGTGACTGTTCTCTTTTGTAGCTAATTTTGATTTTTTTTCAGCCCACCTCTGGTATGAAATAGAGAAAAATCACCTGTTATCCGACTTTTCACCTCTCCTCTGCTGCATTTATCAGGACCTGCAATATTCAAACTGGTTTCTTTGGAACCCCAAGGTTGTAGGGAAATCATTCAGAGGTTCAACATGACAATTTCTGTGTTTGTTTTACCATAAGGTAAAGTAAAAGTTCCCCTCATATATATGTGCTAGTCGTTCCCGACGTAGGGGGTAGTGCTCATCTTCTTTTCAAAGCCGAAGATGTCTCTGTGGTCATGTGGCCACCATGATTAAATGCCGAAGGTGCACAGAACGCTGTTACCTTCCTACCAAAGGTGGTTCCTATTTTTCTACTTGCATTGTTTACGTGCTTTCAAACTGCTAGGTTGGCAGAAGCTGGGACAAGTAATGGGAGATCACTCTGTTAGGCGCACTAGAGATTTGAACTGCCGAACTGCCGACCTTTCTGATCGACAAGCTCAGCGTCTTAGCCACTGAGCCACCGCGTCCCATGTTATACCATATGGAATACATTATTGCCACATTAATGTTAACATTTTGTTCAAATAAAATGTATTACATTAGGGGTTTTATTTCCAAACATCTGAAAGTTGCCAAAGTTGACAAACACTGATTTAAGTGGAACTTGGCTTGATAAGAAGCCATGGAACAGTTCATCTTGGCTAAAAGATCAAGGAGCATTTTCCTAGACTTTGAAAACCATCCTGTGTTCAAAGCAAGCATTGTGATCGTTTGCTCCTATAGTCTGTCGAAATCTAAAATCTCATTTTTCACAAGAAAATGATTTTTTTTTTTTGCTACGAGCCCAATCTGAATAAGGCTAACGGAAGAGCTACCATTATAGATTTAAGCTGATTAATGAATTGGCAGGAAGCTGGTTTCTCATGGTTATGCGGTTCAGTAATAAATCAGGGTTTCTGGGAATACAGTACTTACTTTTCTTTCTCCCCTGAAGCTCAGAGAAGATTCTAAACAGCCATGTTATTACTGAGAGGCTGGAGGTGAATGAATAAATTCTGCTGCAGAATTCCCACAACCCTGCAGTAGAGATTGCTCTGCCTGCCTCCTGTGCCTTTTCTGATTCAGCGCTTTTCCCTCCTATAGCTCTAAACTTGGCAGCAATGAGGTGTGATTAGAATAAACAGGGCTGCTTTTGGAGCAGCATTTCAGGGCATGATTTTTCCCTTCATAAAAGCTGCTGCAGGATCATGAGATTGATGGACAACATCGTCTTTGACACCCTATGTGGCTTCCAGCCTTCAAAAGCGGGCTACGAATGGCAAGAACGTTCTCAGAAATTCCTGAATGTTATCAGCTCCTCCTGACAAAGCAAATGTTCTTGGTGGTACTTATTGTGCTTTTATTAAATTTTACAAAACGATAAGCCTGGCTGTGTGATGAAGCTATGCCAAGGAGGCAATCAATCTCGGCTTTCGAGCCTTGCCATATGGAGAACAGAATGTTGTCTCTGTGTGTTCTTCGTTTCTTTCTCTATTAATACTGTTTGCATAGCAGGATCACCACAAGGAAACCTTCTGTTTTACCCTAGGGCAACAAATGTGGCGTGCTAAAATGAAAATCAACATTTTGTCTTTGTCAGTGAAAGGAAATGGCACTGATGTTGCACAACCAACTGTTATACGGTTGCCTTAAAATTATCATGAATGGCTGGAAGTTGGCAATGAATGCCATGTTGATGTTATGGCACAGGATGTACTTATACTGAAAAATCTGATGATGATGCTATTTAGCTCGCTTGCTGCTTGCTGCTTGTTCTGGTATACCCCCTTCCGCTCAGATTGAGTACACATCTGAATCAGTGGTGGGATTCAATTTTTTTTACTACCGGTTCTGTGGCCGTGGCTTGGTGGGTGTGTTGTGGCTTGGTGGGTGTGGCTTGGTGGGCATGGCTTGGGAACCATATTGCTCATTCTCTCCCCACTCCTGGGGGAAGGACACTGTAAAATCTTCATTTCTACCCCACTCCCGGGGAAGGACACTGTAAAATCCCCATTCCTCCCCACTCCCGGGGAAGCAAACTGTAAAATCTACATTCCCTCCCCATTCCAGGGGAAGGATACTGTAAAATCTCCATTACCTCCCCACCCTACTAACCTGCTTTCCAGCTCCATTCTGTGCAGGGCAACAAAAGAAGACTCAGCCAATCAGCTGGGACTCAGGAGGCAGTAAATAGATGGGGGCGGGGCCAGTCAGAGGTGGTATTTGCTGGTTCTCCAAACGACTCAAAATTTCCACTCCCTGTTCACCAGAACCGGTCAGAACTGGTTGAATTTCACCTCTGATATGAAATATAGGAATAGCATGCTTCTGAAACATTTCATGCTCCAAGCACTGAACCTGAAGCTTTTTGCAGGCAAAAGTTATGCTCTGTTTCTGAGCAAGGTGTGCCTCTTTTCACTATAGCATTGAATATGGTCCAAAATTAAACCATCATCACATTGAAGGGCGAGTAACAGAGTATATCATTGTAAAGCCAGTAGTTTTATTTTTCCAATTCATAGGTTTTCTTCTAGTTTTAGTGTTCACTAATCTACCAATAGTGGGGCACTATTTTGGAAGGAAACAGGGTGTGTATGCGTGTGTTTAAAAAAATCCCTTCTCACCCTATGGATGATATGTGTCTTCCTCAACCTTGTGTCCTCTGGATAGAGAGCTCTGACATTGTTCCTGATATGTTGACGCCACTCTTCTAGGGGTGGGCTTCAACAATTTTAGCAAGGGGTTCTCTGCCTGGTTGCTGTGTGGGTGTGGCCATGGTGGGCATGGCCTAGTCACCCTCCTGCACCATAGTGGGGGGGAGTTTTTGCACTCCCCAGGCTTGAGAGCCTTTTCTCGATCCTCTGGGAGGGCAAAAATAGCCTCCCCAGGTTCCGAAGGCCCTCTGGAGCCCGAACTTCTGATAGGCCTGTTTCCCCCCCCCCTGAGGTTCCACATGGGTCTTGCACTTACCTGCATCCAAAAGAGACCACATGGGGACTCCTGGGAGGGGAGGGGAGTGGTAGGTGGGGCGAGCCAGGAGTGGTATTTGGGGGTTCTCCAAACTACACAGAATCTTAGCTAGCAGTTCTCCCAAACCCCTGCAAACCCTCACTAGCCCACCCCTGGAGCTCCAAGTTCTTTTTCTACCATTGGGACTTTTACTTCCCACATCCTCTCTAGTTCCTCTGTCAAACTCTGGTACTTCTCCTGCTTCTCATATTCCTCCCCAATTGTTTTTTTTATCAGGGCAACCTGGTCTACCCAAATACGGGGCAGAGCACACTGCTTTTGCTTGATTGATAAGAAGCAATGCCCATCATTCATTCCTAATGATGCTTCACTTGGTACTGAAACTTCCATCACCGACACTGACTTCTGGTTCCTGTCTTTGATCACAATGTCTAGTTGATTGGTCAGTATTTGCCTGTCTATCTGGATCTGGAAGTCCCACAAGATTTCATCATTCCCCACAATCTTCTGCAGAAACTACCATCTGGGCCTGCAGAGTCTAGTCCACGCCCTATGCAGTTGTTTCTGTAATACCAGCTACTTAGTTGTAGCATTCAGAGTATACTGTTCCTGCTTACATCTTACACCCTACCACTATAACATAAGGCTCCAAAAAAGCTTTAGACCAGGGATGTCAAACTCAATACCCGGGGGCCGGATCCGGCCCACGGGGTGCTCTGATATGGCCCATGCCCCCTCCCAAGTTTCGTTTTCACTGGCAGAGGGTTTCAGGAGGCCATTGCAGCTGAAAATGGAGCATGGGAACCCATTTTCGTTGCCAGAGTGCTCGGGCTTAAAGGCACCCCTAACACAAGTGATGTCAAGATAGCTATACCCACCTTGACCCCCCAAGGTCAAACACAACCCTGATGTGGCCCTCAATGAAATCAAGCTTGACATCCCTGCTTTAGACTGTCTACCACAGCTCCTGGTGAAATGGTTTTAAATACCAAATCTCAGGCCATTTAATTTGAAAGCATCTCTCTGCTATCCCGACAATGTGTAGGCTTTGTTGCTGTTACATCTTGAACGGAGGATGCATGATCACTGAGGCGCTGGCAGCGGGGGAAATACTGGAAGTTTCTTGCTAATGCCCTGGCCCATTGGAATTCACAAACATAAGCTGAATGTTAAGTTGGAGAGAAATGAATTCATTTGTTCTATTCAAATCCCAGGATTAAGAATGAATTCATCAGCGTTCATCTGAAACATAGTTAGAGAATGACAGCCTCAATATCTGGGGAAGAATTATAATGATTCTGATTCGGGAAGATTCCAGAAGATTAGTTGGCCTATACAGCATGGCTGAAATTTGGACTGAAGAGCTGCGAGGATTTCATCTTTTTCACTGTTTGAGGAAACAGATTTAATGTTGTGGGAGAGATGGTGGCAAGGAGGTGGACGAGGAAAATAGTTTAGTTGTAAAGAGATAATATAGCCCAGACGTGAGAGCCATTGACAGCCATTTTAGAGACTCTGCCCCACTTAACTCACCATGTAATGAGGAATTTACTTTGACAGGATTAAAGATTATGTTTTTACTTCAGACTAATATTAAAGACATCTTTCTGAAATTATGATATTTGCTTCTTTGGTTTATCCGCTACATGGGGCATGAGAAAGGTTGCATTTGGAGAGCTTTCTTAATCGGTCTCCATCTCCCCCCCCCAAAAAAAAGACATCACTTCGATATTTGTTGGATTGCATCTTCTTTCGTCCTAACCTGCATAAAAATTCAGTTCTAAGCAGTAACCACTGTATTTAATTCAGGTTTCACTGGAGGTAATCTCACTACTGCTTTCTTCTAGCTAATAGGGATTTATCCTTGCCTGAAGGAAGCAGTAATAAGGGCTGCGCAGTCCTTTGGATTAAATCTCAAGGAGGTTTTTGGCATGATTTAGCAACTATATCATTTCCCCCCAGGTATACGTGAAATCTACCATGTGATTGTGTTACCACTGAGAACCTTTACGAGACCAAACTACTAAGACCTGCACAGCCTTAGAAGTAATAATCTCTGCTGTTCATACATGATCTATTTATGACTTATTTCACAGGTCAGAGGTCAAGTGGTGAAACTTAATTCTCCAAGCAGTTGGTTCAGGGGTATCTACAATTACATACTTAAATGGCATTCTAGTCACATCCATTAAAATAATAGGGTCCTCCCTTGCTCACACTGGTACTAGTAATTTTATTTGCAAAGTATCCAGAAGAATTCACTTGCTTCTGCATTTTGGACTCTCCCAGCGGTGGGCTTCAAAAATTGCAGCAACAGGAGTGGGAGGAACCATGTTGTGATGTTACAACGTGCGGTCTCGATACTCTGAGACAGCCGTTGACACTATTGCCGCTGCGGGGTCCATTGAGACCTAAATCATCCCGTAGAGACAGTGATCAGGAAGACAAAGCCTGATATCGCAAAATCCCTGATAGATCCAAGGGAAGTGCTTCAAGCCTGCGGTAAACAGGTAGCCCGTAGACTGATGAATTCAGGACGCTCTGGAAGGAAGGAAGTGAAAAGAGAAAGTGAGTCCATCTGGTGAGGATGTGTCCGCCACCTGAGTAGTAGGCAACACCTGCGGACTAA